AAGAGTGGGTCAAATGATGGATCTTCAATTTCTTGAGGATCCGCTTATCCTTGATATTGTTCATTTACATGTGATACTAATATTTCTACTAGTTTCACTTATATATTATCATGTTGAATTTCCAATCATGGTTCTCTTGTTTGTTCACTTAGAGATATATCTATCTCGTCTTGAACAATCAAGGGAACAGTGGATGAAGCTTCTAGAGATTCTGGAAATTCTTGATCTAAGATAAATCTCATCAAGAATAACCTAACTTAAGAACTTATAATTTCTTATCTAGTCCTCCTTTAAGAAAATCATGTGAGTGCTCACTTAGATTATCTTGTCCTTAAGACTAAATAAGAAATCATCTCTAGTTCTCTTAGGGTAGCCAAAACATATGCACTCTTCCATACAAGATTCCATCTCATTTGACTGCTGTTGTAGGACGTGTGCCGTAGCACCCTAAATCCGAATATGGTTTGATCTGGGCTTACACCCTTTCCATAATTCTTTAGGTGTCTTTACAACAAATTTTGACGGAATCAAGTTAAGAAGGTACATTTCCTTCTCTTATGCATCTCCCTTGAACAACATTGACAAAGATGAATAACTCAACATGATCTTCACCAAGTCTAGAAATGTTTGATTTTCACATACTGCAACTTCATTCAACTAACGCATTCTTAGAGTTGACAGTTACAAAAACTATCCCCTCTTAAATCAGGTAAGACCTGAACTTACCAGACAGGTAGCCAACACTTTAGTCAGACCAAAGTGTTTTTGATTTGAACACCTACATGCTTTTCTGTCTCAGACTAAACCTCTTGGAAATTTTCAAAAGCTTTAGACTTATAGCGCACTTGGTTCATCTGTCCAAATCCAGAGTAAACATTCATATAATGAAGTACTCATCACCTCTTCTGGTCTGAACGCTAAGTGGTCCACATACTTTAGTATGTACCAGTTCCAGTTGAATAGTTGCGCAAACCTTCTTGGCCCTTGTAGGATTGCTTGGCCACTTTACCTTCCAAATAGGACTAACACGTAGCTGTTAGTTAAAAGATTATTGAACTTTCAGTCCCTCTTTTAACTAAAACATGTTTCCTACTTGAGATAACATGACTCAATCACAAAGGCCAAAGTTATGTTTCATTTGAAACTTTTATTTCTTTGGTGAAATTTCTTGTTCATCATCCTTCCATTCAACATAACAAATTTAAAAAGGTTATAGGACATAGGTAATAAAGACTATTTAAACAATGTACCAGAACAAACAAGACGAAGATGAACTTCGAAATGTAACTGAGGAATCAATTGCATTGTCAACCCATGTTTTAACCCAAACAACTAACAAAAATTGAATTCCTCTTGAAATCTGGAACAAATAAACAATCACCCAAAACCATAGTCTTATAAATAACTTGTCTTACTGCAAATGCAGACACAAGTTCCCATTTTCAAGCTTAAAATATATGTCCATTGCTGACAGGTATGCCATGTTTGAACTACTACAAAGAGTAAAAAACATAATCAGTGATTCCTGAATCAATAATTCATTCACTGATCAGGCCTTGATATGCCCATGTCAGGTTCTTTTCATCACCTCTGGACAATTTTTCTTTCAGTATCCCTTCAGTCTGCACTTGAAGAACTTGCCTTGCGGCTTCTTCATAGCAACTGGTTTGACAACTGATAACCAAGTCATTTTGTTCTTGTTACCACCCTTGGGTTTCCCTTTGGATTTAACAAGACTCTTAGCAAAACCTGCACCGACTGCATTCTGTCTAGCAGAGCTGCTAGACGCAGCAAACATGTCATTAAGAGTCTGAAGCATTTCTACTCCACTCTTAATCATGTACACTTGTTTCTGCAAGTATTTGGAAAGACTGACAATAATATAGCAGCGAACTACCATTTCTGCCCTTTCCCAATCTGAGAAATGCATCTTAGCTTCCTTAGACGCATTCTCTGCAGGTTGCTATGGCCCTCGCATTGTCAGGACAAATTTTAGCTTCCATGTTTTAGAACAATATCAAAGATTTGTTTTTCACTTATTCATAGTTGGTACCATCTAGAGGTTTTCGACTCAAAATCATTTCTAAGATATTTTCTGAAAAACATATAAAGCACACAATTACAAACAAATAATGCAATAAACAAACGAAGTGCAAGTAGATTCTCATAACTACTCTTGTTTATTGTTAACAATCTTTCAGTTTATCTTTACAAGGCTTACGATGGGCAAGTCACTTGTAAAAACCAAAATTGTTATTTGGGCCTTCAGTGCCATTGCCAGAGCCTCGATGGGAGGGTTAACAATTTTACCAAAGTTGAACGTAATTAACCATTGTTTAATTTCAAAATTATCCTTAGTGTCTAAGCATTGCCGACGATGGGCCGTACAATACTTTACTAAAATTTTGAAATTATTAAGATTTAATCTAGTGAAATCTGATTATCCTTATCCGATGGGGCTTCAGCGATAACCATTTCACTAATAAACCCACAAATGGAGCCCACAGGTTTTAAAATTAATAAATTTTTAAAACCTTCACCCATTCAACATTTTTGTTTGAGAATTTTCATAAGCCCAGTCGAATTCATTGTTTAATTTCAAAATTATCTTTAATAACTTAGTATTATCGACGATGGGTCGTACAATACTTTATTAAAAATTTGAAATTATTAAGGCCCAATAAAATCCAATCATGCTAATCCGTTGGGGCCTCACATGATTATTTTATTGATAGGCCCACAATGCGCCTGGAGGTTAAATTAATTTCTTAATTTAAATCTCCTCCCATAGATATTTAAGTCCAATCTAATAAAATCCAATCATGCTTATTCGATGGGACTTCACATGATTATTTTATTAATGGTCCTATAATGCGCTTGAAGGTTAAATTAATCTCTTAATTTAAATCTCCTTCCATTCAACATAAGCAACATTTTCTAATTTCCAAGAATTATTTAATTGAGAGTATTCTTTGTTTGATTTCAAAAACTATATAAGTAATAGCGCCGATAAACGTGCACTAAGCTTAACATAATTTTGAAAGCATTAAGGTCCTGAAATCCGGTCACTTTACGTCAGCGTGTGCTCCAAACAATCATGATACATGAATGTTGTATGCAGCGTGTGTTATTCCATGACCATTTCAGAAAACCCACAAATTACTCGCAAAATAAAAGAATTCTCTTAGGAAATTTTCTCTAATTATTTTTCTAGATTTAAATCATCCAAATAGTTGACTTAATTATTAATCTAGATTGCAACAATCATAATAATTATCATTTATGAGGATAATTTGAAATCAAAATAATTTCCATAACGATTATTTGTCTTGATGTTAATTATCCAAAATTAATTAATTCAATTATTAATCTAGATTTTTAATAAAAATCATAATAATTATTAATTAATTTCTTAGGATGATTTAAAAATCAAAATAATCCCATAATAACTATCATACTAGTCGCTGAAGACATAATAGCTATTATGCTCATGCAATCATACAAGTTATGCAACAATATGGCACCACCTATTCTATATGGCATGTTATCGCAATAAAGCATGTTATCAATTATATAATTTATACCAATCAATAAAAGCATTAAATAATAAATCATAATTACTTTAATCCATGGCCTTCCTATTTTAAACAAAATTAAATTAAATTAAATTAAATAATACAACTTTGGAATTCGACTTTCGCCTAGCCCATAGTATCTGTCTCAAGCCCCTTTAGGGTTTCATGGGCCCAAAAGTCCAAAGACCCAATCCTTTGGCGAGAAACCCTAGGACGCGAAAGAGGAACCCTAGCCGTCAGGTCTGTCGCGCCGTCACCCGAAGTCAAATCACGCTGAAACTCCAGAGGAAGGACCGCCACGTAGAGACGAGTGCACCGCCGCCGGAACCACCCAAAAAGGTGGCCGGACGCTCTCTCACTCTTCCATTCTTTGCCGGAGAGTGGCGGCCACTCTCAGAATCTTGTGGAGGCGCGTGGAGGAGCGTTTAAACTCAGATGGCGGTGACCCACCCACCGTTTCGTTCGTATTTCCGTCCTCTTTCCAACCATATATAGATCTCCCCATTCTGAGATCGGTAAATCCTCGAAAAGTCTCCAACAGTGCTGACTGCGCATCTTCCTCGCGATTTCTCGATCTTGAACTTTTACAAAATATTGAAAGAATACACAGAAATTCCAAAAATAAACAAAACCAACAAGGAGGAAACCTAATCATATGGGATTAGCCTCCTTGTTACAAATCGAGAAATACACGAGAGACCCTAACCATGGATTAAAGCATTTTTACCGATTAAAATTTAAACTTTTATGAAAATGAATTATAAAATACACATGCTAGATTCATACCATAATCCTAGAACCCTAGGTGCCACATTCAAGAAGCAAAACTAATTACATGAATAGTGAAACTAGATTCACATACCAATGTACAGCCAAGGCTCTGATACCAATTGAAGGAAATCTTAGATTTATGCGGAAGCGGTGTAGGACCTAGTACATTGGTATGCTTACCGAATCATCCTTGTTTCACAATTACCTCTCGGTGCGCAGGTCTCGTGTAGAATCTTCCCTTGTAGGATTCTTCTTCACGAACAGCTCACCTCAGCGCCGCAGCACGAACAACCTCCTTGAAGCTGGACTGTGGCAGATCTTCCAAACTATCTCTCGAGGAGGATGAGATGGTTGTGTGGGCAACCGTTCAGATGATGAACGTCTGCCCCTTGGTTTGTTTCTGATGATCTGTAATCCTTGGAGGCACAAGAGGAGAAAACTATGAATATATACGCTTAGGTCTTAGACATAACTCAACCCTAAGCCTCATGGGCTCAAGTGTCACTGAAGCCCAATAGGACTTTAGTGACCAAAAGAGCATATATCCAACAGTGGACACGCCATGGCCATAACAAAGTGAAAGATACCTTTGCGGATTTTGATGCTCCTGAGGTGGTGAATGGCATAGCCAAGAACAATCCTTCTATATTGAATATGAGACATATTCAGGCCTTTGAAGCAGTTGTTAATGAACTTGGAGCACAAAACGTGAAAGTATTGTTGGATAACCATGTCAGTGTGCCAAGGTGGTGCTGTCGTGAAGATGATGGAAATGGTTTCTTTCATGACAGACACTTTGATCCTCAGGAATGGGTTCATGGCCTTACTTTGGTAGCCAAGCGCTTTTCTAAAAATCATGCTGTAAGTATTATATTGCTAATAGCCTTTTTTTCTTTCTTTGTTTCTTTCTTTTCAATTGTAAATTGCATATAACATTTTTTTGTGATTTCTTTTTATTGACTAATAGGTTGTTGCAATGAGCTTGAGGAATGAATTGCGTGGTCCACGCCAAAATGAGAGTGATTGGTACACGTACATGAGTCAAGGAGCACTTGCCATTCACAAGGAAAATCCAAAGGTTCTTGTGCTTATCTCAGGTTTGAAATATGACACTGACTTACAGTTTTTAAGGACTAAACCATTGAATATAGACTTGGGGAAAAAAATGGTGTATGAGACACATTTCTACTCATGGTCTGGAAATGGGAGACAGGTATGGACTCAGCAACCATTGAACAGGATATGTGCCAATAGCATTAGAGGATTAGACGAGAGAGCTGGGTTCCTTACCACTGGTGAGAATGCAGCTCCTTTAATCTTTTCAGAGTTTGGGTTTGACCAGACAGGTTCTACAGAGGCAGACAACAGGTTCTTGACATGCCTTCAGACCTATCTTGTTGGGAGAGATTTGGATTGGGGTTTGTGGGCATTTCAAGGTAGCTATTATGCTAAAGAAGACAAAGTTCAACTTGAAGAGACATTTGGTGTCATGGATGTCAATTGGAAAAATCTGAGATATCCAAACTTCGATAACAAGTTCCAACTTTTGCAAAGGAAGAATCAAGGTAAGAGTTTTCAGTTACCAATTCCATTTAGTATTTTGCAGGCATGTGGAGAAAAGCTTATGTCAATATCCATTTTGCACTTTAACCTGGTTTTTTGTTTTCATGCAGTTCCTACTTCCACAGTCCCCAATGCATATATCTTGTACCATCCACTAACTGGTCAATGTGTTCAACTGAATAACAAGAATGAACTTGAAGTTGGTAGCTGTGAAAACCAAAACAGATGGACTTATAGTGGAGATGGGTCTCAAATCCTTTTGGATGGCACTAACAAGTGCTTAACTGCAGCTGATGAAGGGCTTCCAGTAACTGTTTCTGATGATTGTCAAAGCAAGAAGAGTTCCTGGTTATCTGTATCACTTTCTAAACTTCATTTGGCTACTGTGGATCAAGATGGGAAACAACTTTGCTTGCAGAAGGATTCCAACTCATCCCACGTTGTGACTTCAAAATGTATTTGCGTTAAAGATGATTCTTTTTGTCTGAATGATCCCCAAAGCCAGTGGTTCCAGTTCGTTTCCACCAATGTATAGTTTCTTCTTACATAAAATGGAAGAAGAAAATTTTCTGAGCCGTGTTTGATTTGTCTTATTTATGATGCTCAAGATTTGTGGATAAATTATTTCTCAAAATAAAACAAATTATCTTTATTTTTATAGCGATACTTTCACGTAGAATAATCTCATGAAACTTAATCTTGTTATGTTTTTACTGTTTATAGTAGTTGCCGTTAAGACGTCACACTGGTTGAAAATAAGGAAGTTATCTTAACATAAGGAAATTGAATTACTTAAAGGGAAAAGGAGAAAATTTTTCTCATGTTAGTGACACATTGTATAAGTGGGTCCCACAAAATAGTGAAAAGAGAAAAAAATTAAAGGTGAGACCCATATATACTTTGAGTTACTAACATGAGAAAAATTTTCTCGGAGAAAATGTTTTCCCTTACTTATATTATAGTTGATGATAAGGCCATCACATGTTAAGTTTAAGGGGAATGAAGGGTGATGTTACATGACCAACTATTTTTCTTCCTGCAGATAGTAAGGTGAGTCCCTTATGAAAAATAAAAATAAAAAAACAGAAAGCGCTATTTTCTAACGAAAGTAAGGAAAAAAATCGGATTTGTATCATTTCATGTGAAAAAGTGGTCGTATTATTTGATCACAATCACTTATTCAAGAATCATACATTTTTTTTCTCTCTCTTATGTCATCATGTCATCGTCAATGAGTGATTGTAATCAAATAACATGATCGCATGACCATTTTTTCATATAAGAGAATCCAAATTCAAAAAACCTGTTTCCAGCAACATAATAATTGATTTTCTTATCACCACAAAAGTTTATTACCCATACAACTAACCTAATCACCATTAATTTTCATCAATTTAATGGTTATAAGTTATTGGATCTTCATAACATTTATTGAATTACATTTATTAATTAATTATTAATTTTCAATAAATTATAACCGTTAGATTGGTGAAAATCAACAGTGATCAAGTTAGTTGTAAGAGTGATAAACTTTTGTAGTGATAAGTATATCCGTTCCCACAATGAAATGAATTTTTTATTTTTTTTCAAAAATAAAAATTTGAGAATTTTTATGACTTTTTTGATATATCCGTAATGAATAAATAATAATACTTGTTTAACATGTATAGGGATAAAATCAATTTATACCCGTATAAAAATAATAAATTTTACATTTATTTTCAATGTTAATTAACATATATATGACGAATATCATTTAATGAGGTCGATTAATAATTAATTAACAGTTATAACTTAATATAAAATAATCATCAAATGCACGTAAATTCTTACCACTGGTGAAAGTTAGTCATGCTCCATAATATGCTAATTTCGAAATTGAATTACTAAATAACGTAGTTGATGATAAGAACATCATACGTTAAGTTTAATGAAGCTGTTCTTATCTTGACGGAAGGAATTGCATGACTATGTAGAGTTGATGACAAGACACTGGAAATTGTGGTTAAAATAAAGAAAGAAAGAAAGAGTAGAAAGGACTGAAAGGTATCAAAATATTTTATTATTTCAAAATTCAAAAAATATATATTATTTTAAATTACACGACATTATATTATTATAAGGTAAACGATAATTTTAAATTGGTACCCCTCTGTGCTTCGGCAATAAAATCATCAAATTCAAGTGTTATTGCGGCTTCTGCTTCATCTCCATTAACCAATCTCTGCTTCATTGTGAGCAGAACGGTGTGGCAGCGGCAAAATGGAAAAAGAAAAAGGAAAAAATAAAATCTTTTTGGGTTCTCAACAAAAAAATACGGAATCTGATTTAATCTTTCTGAAATTTCAGTTATTTGAAATTGTGATCCTTACGAAATTCAAAGAAGATCAATATTAGTTCTTCGAAAAAGACAAACATGAGTATTTTTTTTCTAGAAGATTAAAATAAATTATGTGTTTTTTGTTAAGGAACCAAAATAGTGTTTACTCAAAAAAAAAAGGTTGGAATATTGTGTCATTTAAAATAATAAAAACTTTTCCCTTTCAAAATAATTGTCACTTTGAAAATATTAATTTATTCTAAATTATTTATTATTTTTAAAAACTAAGAAAGCATTAATTATTTTTTGAAATTTATTTTTATCTTTTGATATATCCATCAAATAAAATAAGAGAGCTTTATATATAACCAAATGAATTTTTTATTTTTTTAAAAACAAAAATTTGAGAATATTTAACGACTTTTTTTTTTGAGAAATGTTTTTCTTATATCACATGAGAAATCATGTCATCTTACACATCCTTCGAAATGTTTTTCTTATATCACGCTGCACTCTTAGCCGTTGTTGAAGAAGTCTGAAAATATAACTAATTCGCATTATCTTATCTTTACTCTTAATTATTTTCAGACTTCTTCAACGACGGCTGAGGGTGCAGCGTGGCATTTTGGCAAAATTTACTGTTGACGTGGCAGTCTGGTAAATTTTTTTGCCAAGTGTAGCAAAATAGTCACTCTTCCCAATGATAGCTGCTAAATCAAGGAGTTTTTTTAAATGTAAATAAAAATTGAATACACAAATTAATATAACCTTAATAAAATAAATAAATAATAATAATACAATAAAAAATTTCATTGGAAACCCAGGCTAGCCATGTGATTATGTCAGCACAGCCCAACAACATAAACCCACCATAAATAAGAACTAATTAACAAGCTGCATAGACGCCTATTATTGAAGAAAATTTGGGAATAAATCCTCTCGTTAACATTTTATATTATTACTTGATTATGTGAAATTTTTGTGATTATCGCTCTCTTTGGATAATTCTGTGAAAATTTTTAACATTAAAAAATTCATTCCGAAAAAAATTATATTTATTCATCATTTTTGAGGAAAATTTCAAAATATTGTCCCAGATATTTTTGTGCTCTCTCTCACATAACTTTTCCATTCTACTCTTATTTTTTTTATCCATTTTTCCATTTTACTCCCAATTTAACTAAGGGAGAAGGTGTTCCAGGACCACACAATTAACGCTCCATTTTTAGAGAATATTAGGATAATTTAATTTTTTAATTAATAAAATAAGAAAGATATTCTTTTTATATATATATATATATATATATATATATATATATATATATTATCGACTAATTCTAATCGAGCAGAATTATAACTTAAGACAAAACTCTTTTTATAAAATATTTAACATAACTGTGTAGTTAGAACTTAAAATTTAGACAACTGGTTAAGTTAAAATAACAACATGCTAATTGATTCATGTGCTTAGTAATAAGCCTATTATAATTTCATTGTAATAAATCAAGCAAAGATTATTTATGAAATAAGAACTCAAGAATAAACAATTCTTATAATTACTAATTATTCTCATAAAAAAAGAAAAAAAATAAATTTATCTTATCAAATTCGAATACTCAACCTACAACATTGTAAACTACTTTTAATATTAAAAATATTATAATATAATAAAAGAATTTATTCTAAAATATCATTACTTATATAAGCTTTGAGCTCAGATTTTTTAAGTAACATGGGGCCTAATTATTAAATACATTTTATTATCTCTATCAAAACATATTCTTTTTTATTCTTTAGGCTAGGTCACACCTGATTCCGGGTAGGCTGGCCATAGGAGGTTTGTTTTAATGGTCCCCGTGAACCTGGTCCCCTCCCAAAAATAGTAAAGAACAAGAGAGTGGGAGGGAAGCAGCTTTTTTCCAAAAATAGAGATAGGGAAAGAAAGCTACGTAATTTACAAAAATATTTGAGGATGCGTGAAGTTGCTTGCTGTTAAAGGCAGTGCATATATTTATTTTCCATGTGTATTTATGTGGTTATCTATGTAGCACCGATACCGATACGGGACACGAGACACAATACGATACGACACATCGACACGTTAATTCTAAAAAATATTAAATTTTGATATGTTAGGACACGTTTTGATATTAAATATTATTTTTAATTTATGTAATGTATATTATATTTAATACTCAATAATCTAACAAAAAATGAAATTAAACTTATATTATTCATTAATTTTGTAAAGAAACATAAGATATCCCAAATATTGATATTAAACTCAATAAAATAGTAATAGTAATCAAACGAATCTAATAGTTGGAACTAAAAACGCAACGCAACGTAACCTTTGAACTTTTTTTTAAGTCTCTACAACGCATATTAGAGTGTCGGAGTGTCGGAGAGTGTCGGAAAGTGTCAGAAACAACACGTCAGAATTTTTGAAGTGTCGGTACTTCATAGGTGGCTATAATGATGAAATAACAATAGTTGTTTAATATGTATTGGGGCAAGATAAATTTACACCCACATAAAAGTAATAAATTTTACATTTAATTTTAATGTTGATTTACATATATCTGACTGATTCATTTAATGAGGATTAATAATTAATTAATAATTATAACTTAATAAACAATAATCATCAAATACACGTAAATTGTTACCACGGGGAAAGTTAGCCATGCTTCATAATATGCTAATTTCCAAAATGCATTGCCCCTGTTGATAAACTAATCAATTTTCATTCCAATAAACAATTCTCAAATTTGTTTTTCCTTATAGTTCTTATAACTTTTCTCGATTAAGATTGACGAAGACATCAACTCGAAAACCATAATCACTCTAGTATACATACTTTAGGTAATTATATGTATTTACTCTATGGGTTTTATACATATCATCTTGTATGATATTCTAAGTGTCATATTATTTTCACATGACAAATGGGATCCATCTTTTTTTCTTTTTTCTTTTTTCTTTTTGAGTGAGGCCCACATCAAATGTATTAGAGTAACATGACATTAAAAGTATCATACAACATAACATATATAAAACTCTTACTGTATATATGTAAATATCTTTGTATTTCGAAAATCTCCTATGTCAGGCGGGTCCAGGGGAAGCCCGTGGCCACCACCAAATGAGCTAAACTACATCGAGTACACCAAGTGGATCCGACACCACGTCTCAACCCAAAATCTTAAGGCATT